CAACCCTAATACAATCAGACAAAACAGATCAGGCCATAAACAAGATCATCAATTAAAGGGATAGTTCACCCAAAAATGAAAATGTGATGTTTATCTGCTTACCCCCGGGGCATTAAAATCATTGCATCTCTTCTAAATAAGCTCAGCGCTGTAAATCACCTGAAATCAGCAGTTGCTGCAAAAGACTCTAATTCTGTGATGGAGAAGACGCAGAGGAAGCCCTCGCCGCTGCGGAAGTAGTTATCCCGGATAGCTGCATAATCCTCCTGACCGGCCGTGTCCAGAATATCTATCTGCACCTCCTCGCCGTCCAGAACCACCTTCTTCCTGTAGCTGTCAGCTTTCGTGGGCTCGTAGTCTTCCACAAACTGAGGGACAGAAGGTGGGACGCGTGTCAAGTGTTTACATGTGGACAAATACTGACTGACATATGCTTATCAGGTTTTATTTAAATAGTTTATGACCGTTAACTGATTATGAAAACACCAGGGCCTCAGCAAACCTCCAAGAGGGCCACAAGACAAATCAAATATTTCAGACATATTAAATTCTTATCTAAATTAAAATACAAAAAAATATATATATAACATTTATTTCTTATACATTATAATCTGTGTTATTTATAGAGATACTATTAGAGATTTATTAGAGATACTATTATAGTTTGTTATATATTGAAACAGTTTTTAATTTTTATATTTTCCATTTTTATTTTCATTTTGGTTAAAAGGTTTAGTAATTACGTTGTGTGTTTTTGTCATTTTTAGGAGTTTTTTGTTTAATATATATATATATATATATATATATATATATATATACACATACATTTTTTTATTTTTTTTTTTATTTTAGTACATCAAGTTAAACTAAATTAAAATGAATTGGCAACATATGAATTTTTTTATTTTGTTTTTAGTATATTTATTGTATCATATAAAGTAACATTTTTTAAATTGTTTTAGTTATTTATTTTTCACTAAAACGATTAAAAAATATATTATTATACATCATTGTTTTATATATATTTTTATTTTTATATAATTATAATACAATAAAAATATTTTAAAAATATATTTCTTACCCCTCAATAACTGTTGTTTTTAATTGAAGAAGATATAGTTCTTGAAACCTCTGAAGTCACAAACTGAATCATGGTTAATTTAATATCAATTCTCCCACTTTCTGTTAATAAAGAGTTTAAAAACAAGCAGCTTTGTCACAATTACAGTAGAAATACTGGAAATAAAATACTTTCTAAAATAAGAAAAAAACATTGATGGATTGATTGCATTTGTCAGAAGAGAGAAAGATGTGAAAGGGTCTATGTCATGCCGGTTAGAGCTCACAAATACTGCTCTCACACTGACTAAGAACATGCACGCTGTGTTGCTGGAAGTCTAGCAGCTTTAACCAGGCTTCACCAAGATGCAAAGGTCGATGCTCTTGGCTCAAAACCAGATCATGCAGCTGATATTGCCATCTGGACCAGCTATCAACTGTATAAAACCAGCTAGCATTCTCCAGAAGGACAAACTACAACACTGAGCGGTAATTCATAACATTATTACATGAACAACGGACATGATTTCTGTGGGGTAAAATCATTGTAGTAATGTGTGAAAGGCATCCTCACCTCATCGTACATGAACTGCAAAGTTAAAGCAGACTTTCCCACTCCGCCGCTCCCAACCATGATCACCTTGTGGAGAGCCAGCGAGTTCTGCCCTTTGGGCTTGGCTGCTGCCATGGCAACGGTTGCTAAGGGGCAGGACCGAGAGGAGTCGGGTCGAGGAGGCTGTGGAGATGCTGGAGGTCACAGGTCGATGCTCTTGGCTCAAAACCAGATCATGCAGCTGATATTGCCATCTGGACCAGCTATCAACTGTATAAAACCAGCTAGCATTCTCCAGAAGGACAAACTACAACACTGAGCGGTAATTCATAACATTATTACATGAACAACGGACATGATTTCTGTGGGGTAAAATCATTGTAGTAATGTGTGAAAGGCATCCTCACCTCATCGTACATGAACTGCAAAGTTAAAGCAGACTTTCCCACTCCGCCGCTCCCAACCATGATCACCTTGTGGAGAGCCAGCGAGTTCTGCCCTTTGGGCTTGGCTGCTGCCATGGCAACGGTTGCTAAGGGGCAGGACCGAGAGGAGTCGGGTCGAGGAGGCTGTGGAGATGCTGGAGGTCACTGAAGTGAGGGGTCAGCGTGAGAGTTCGTTCCAGAGAAGATCATGCACTGCTCGTGTGTACCTGGACCAGATGAACAAACAGGTTTACATTTCATTCTGTAAAGTTATCACTACTTTTCACTTAAAACTACTTTCATATGTTCTCCTGACTAACCCAACTCTTTCAGAGTCAACCGATTTAAGGCATTAACAGTGACAGATGAACTCCCTGTGCACAGTGTTAACTAACACTAAAACTATTAACATTCTGATTTTGCTCATTGAAATAAAGCAATATTTGGGGAAAAACTTGAAGTTGCCTTGGCAACTAACCAAAACAAATTAAGTTGAAGTGCTAATATTACTAAAACTGAAATATAAGAAATATAAATATTATTTTTCTATAATATGAAAAATAGAAATATATATATAAATAAATAAAAATGACCAAAGCACACAACTAAATTACTCAAACTTAAACTAAAATCAAACTGAAAATTATAAGTTGAAGTACTAATTACTAAAACTGAAATAAGCAAAAATACTATTTTTCATCATATAAAAAAATAAAATAATTAAATGTCAAAAATCGCATAAAATTACCAAAACTTCCAACTAAAATTAAAATGGAAATTAGAAGTGTTATCTAAATAAAATAAGTTCAAGTTGAAGTACTAATAAATACTGAAACTGATATATAAGAAATATAAATATTTTTTTATTTAAAATAATAATTTAAATAAATATAGTAATATAATATTTGATATAAACAAATAGGAGTATAACATAATAATAAAAATAACCAAAGCACATAACAAAATTACTAAAACTTAAACTAAAATGAAAATTAGAAATGTTACCTAAATAAAATAAGTTCAAGATGAAGTACTAAATACTAAAACTGATAAATAAGAAATAGAAATATATTTTTTTTTATTTAAAATAATAATTTAAATATAGTAATACATTATATAATAGTACATAATAATATAAACAAATAGGAGTATAAAAATAACAATAATAAAATTACTAAAACTAAAATGAAAATTACCTTGGCAACTAATGCAAAATAAGTTGAAGTACTAATATTATGAAACAGAAATATTGATATTTTCTATAATATGCAATATAAATATTGAAAAAAAAAACTAAGCACATAACATTACGACTAAAACTTAAACTAAAATTAAATAAATACTGAATATATAAATAATAAAAGCTAATTCAAAATATCAATAAATGCTATAATAGTGTATAAATAATATTAAATAGCACTGGTCTGGGTGGGGTTACAAGTGACTAATGCTGACAAGTCAACATCACAGCAAAACAAAGCGCTCCTCTGGATCCTCAGGTTACAGACGACACGGCCTTCCAGTTCATCTCCAGATGCAGCCGTGTTATCTTAAAGTTCAAGCAGCAAAGAATCGAAAGAGATGATGCCCAACTGAGGCCAATCTATAGCATTAGTGGTGAATGACTGATTCATAACACATGTGGTGTAATATGAGTGTGTGCGTGTACATTAGTACATCATATATGCCTGTGTGTGAGTCTGTGTGTGTGTGTGAGTGTGTGTGTGTGTGTGTGTGAGTGAGTGAGTGAGTGAGTGAGTGAGTGAGTGTGTGAGTGTGTACAGACAGCGAGAGGCCAGGGCTGGGTCTGCCGAACAACAGTTTTCACATTCAGACACTCACAGTCTGCAGGCTTACAGTACACATATAAAGACGTGAGAGATATGATATATGTCTGTGATTTTGCCTCAATAGGTTCATGTTTTGTTTTTGGGACATATAGCAATCTAATGGTTATTTTGAATATGTATAATGATCATTTTATGCCATTCTATGGAAATCATTCAATACCATGGTATTAGCATCTGTTACTATGGTATCAGTACTTTGTGTAAGGGTCATTTGCCCACACACACACACTCATTAGCTTTCATCTATTAGCACTCAGTCTGGATTTAACATGATATCCACAGTATTCATAACGACATTGGTTGCATATGTGCCTCGACAGCAGTGCTGGATCCTACCTTTGTGTGTGCTAGCTCAGCTAAAGGTAATCCAGACACAAGGACTCCTGGGATCTCTCCCGTCACTGCAGCCTCCACATCCCGAGCAATGTCATCAGATCCGGACCGAAGGCGCTCTGTGTTTGTTTACCGTTACCGCGAGAGAAGCCGGTCGCCGTGATGTTTGGTGTCGGCGCTCATGGGCGTGTAGCGCTGCTGCTGATCCCGAGAGGCGGGTCACATGGATCCACGGCGGCCGTCTGCGCATGCGCACAGAATTCGACCCCCCCTCATTAGAGTGACGCGGGAAACTAATTAGCAGCGAGAGGAGGAAAGTCCCTTTGAAGTTTAGCCGCTCATGCTTATATACTTATAATCTCGAAGTTATGTGTTATTAATCTGCAGACAAATCTCTTGAGCAGCGGTCTAAACAGTAATTAACACGTGGCTACAGTGGAGGCCAAGAGCGAAGGCGGTAAAACGAAATCTCATATTCGTGCAGACAAAAAACAAAAAAAATCTTAAACCAGCTTCAGTTGCTTTGTTAGTCATAGTTAGTGTAGCTAACCTAGTTTAGCTGTCGCCCAGCAGTCTTGCCATGCTGATTTTCAGCTGACAAGTGCCCAAAAACCCTTTAAACAGGCGGGAAGGCCAGACAACCAGCTAGGCTAGTTTGTTTTTAGCAGGTTTCCACAATATTTTGCAACGCGGAAGGTAACCTTTTCCTGTGAATGTGTTAGAAAGTGCAGTAAACGGTAAAACTATTTGTGCTACAAACCAGTGTGTTTATGAGTATGATCATAAATTAAAATAATGTTCTACAAAGAAATACCAGTTGCAGGTAATATTTGTACAGGTAAAATAACATGACACCGGAAGTTACGCACATTCATTACGCCTTCACTTACCTTTAAAGAAGTGGGTTGATGCAACAATGATTCTCAAAACAAACAAGCAAGCAAAAAATAATAATTATTATAAATGATATGCAGATGTTTACAGCTGGTCTGTCACCTCCATAGGTCCTGTAAGTATGAAGAAGACCGAGACTTTAATGTCTGACCTGAAGTCCAAATATGCTGATAAATCTTGGAATGAGACCGTTCAGCTGGTCCGGAGATGTATGGTAAGAGAATTGCCTTTAAGAAATAGTGTATCGAAAAATGAAAATTCAGTAGTTTATGCACACTCGTTATGTCAGGTCTGTATATTTTACGTTGAACAGAAAAGGAGATATTTCGCAGATGTCAGAGCTGCTCTTTTCTGTTCCTAGTTTTCAGTCACGTGACTAGCGTAGCGCGCAGGGGCCTGTACCTGTACAAACTCAGGGTTATAGGATTAGTTTCAAGCTGACAAAACCAAACAACACCAATCCGGATTCACTTCTCGCGAGAGAGACGGCGAGATCCAAAACTCTTTTGCTGAAGGTTAAGGGATTGAAGAATTTGAATGCATTTACACTGAAGAAAATACTTAAATAAATAAAAGAAAGATCTCGCTCTATCAGTGCAAGTGAAGTTAGTTTATAGAGTTGATAATATATAGCAATAGAGACTCAAGCATGTAAGGTCACGTAGTCATTTTAAAGCATTATCTATTGATTCGACAGCTTATTTATATTACCTAATATGTGTATTTATTAATATTCATTTAAACTAAATTGCTTGTGTGTAATGGATTGATAATAATATAAGTCATATAATAATTCTATAAATCATATAAAATAATTGTAAGTAATTATCATTAAAGCTACACGATTTCGTCGTTAAATATATTTTGTATTTATTATATAGTGACCTTTATTTTGGAGTAAGAGAAACTGGGGGAGGGACTTTATTGTGTTGGGTGTGTTAGGGTCACGTCGCTCACATCTGATTGGTCCAGGTTCGGTTTGAGATCTGGTTTTCTGTGGGAAAATGCTTGGCGTGAAACTTGCATATTGTGCTCATATTCTGACGATTTATTGTTAAGGTGTATACTGAATTTGATCCTCCAATATCGTTGCACTCTTAATGTGCAATTTAGCACGTTGTGCTCCTATTCTAGACTCATCTGCTTGCCTGTATAGTATGTTTTATTGATGTGTATACTGAATTTAGCCGTTCAGTATCACAATATCATTTTAGCACATTAGTACAAAGCTGGTAAAAGTAGCTGGCAGCCTTGCTTTGCTTTCCAGATGGGCATTTCTATAATATGTGATGCATGCTTTGAATATATTAAAAGTAGATAGTGATTTATTAAGCTCATATGTTAAAAAGTTTGCCTTTGAAGCCTTAAATAGGCTGAAATTTAAGTTGGCACCTCAAACGTGTTGCATCCAGGTTGGCCAAAGTCTGTGATGGAAGTTAAGATTATTAGACTATTTGGTGCCATCCAGCAGCTTTGACATTCTTCAAAATATCTCTTTTTGTTTTCCCCGAAAGAAAGACTGTCATACAGGTTCGACGTGAGGATGAGTAAATCATGACAGACATTGTTTATAGTACTTGAATGGACGTTACACATCAAGCCATGTAGCATCAAATGTGCATGTGTGGGTAAAAGCAGGGTGAGGATGTCGTATGGAAGAGGTCAAGACTGGGCCAATTATTGTCCAAACTTAGCTCTCACAGACATCAGCCTCAGATGTTTGCTATTATGTGCGTGCACAACCTTCCAAATCTAATCCAGATGTGGCGCTTAAGACTGCTGCGGATTGCATAAATCAGTGCCATATGCAAACAGCAGGTCGCTCTCCAGAAAGATGATTAAATCTGAGTTTCTCTGAGAATGGTGTGTGTTGGTTGGAAAGTCACTGCAGGATATGCTTGGGGTTGTATTTATGTCTCAGAACGTCATTCCTCTGGGCTTTTCAACATTTCTTCTGTGTTTCGCTGTGGTGAAACAAGCAGGTGAGGAGTGTTTTTCTTTATAGGAAAAAACAAAAGGAGACGGCAGAGTTTGTGAGCCAATCGCACAATGCCTTCAGAAGATCAACGAGGCGCTCAACGGTGAGGATGTCCTTGAATTAAACCCTAACATCATTCTATGAATAAAAATGTCTTTCTCATTTTCTTAGATTTCTTGGTTGTTTGTGTTTTGTCTGTAGTGTCCTCCTTGACAGCAATGGTGTCCAGACTAGAGATGATTGCCAAACAAAGAGGGTTTGAACTTTTCCTTCATATAGATATTGCACTCAGATTGCAACATTCAATATTTTTTTTAATGCATTAATATTAGATAATCAGCAGGGAAAATATTGCTTTCTTAAAGTCGTCATGAAATGGAAATTCATCTATTTTCTAAATGCACGTTGTTTTTGTGAACGATTCATCCATGCATGATAAAATTTTTTTTTAATCATCATAATCATAATTATCCAACAACTGATGGATTGAACCAAGTCCTCACCATACATTGTTTCTTTTTAATACTCAACTTCGCTCGGGTGTAACTTTAGAGGAAACAACATTAAACCAAAACATAATTTTATAAAAATAGATTTTAAAAAAAATCTGATATAATTAAAACATTTCCCCCCCAAAAAATAAGCTGTCACAGCATTAAAAAAAACAAACACTAGGATGATGTACGTCACAATACTGAAGAAAAGATATGTTGCTAATTCCATTACATTGCGACTTCAGGCTGCATAGCTTGAGTTTGAGGCAATATTATCTCTGTACAACCAATGGCAGAAGTGGGGATTATTCTGGAAAACCTGTTTGAAAACAGTCATTATTTATGCAATTCCGCATGTTGCCACCAGAGACGCAGAAATTACACCTTTACTCGGTGCTGAATTGATTGTTCAAATGAAGTTTCAGTATTTTTTTTCAGACTGTGTATTGACAGACATCTCTGTTTGCATTCCTCACAATTTAATAATGTGCCAATATTGTAAAACCTTGGATGAGTTCCGTATTTAATTGCAGTTACTTCCTTTAAACTCTCTGTGCAGCTGTCTCTCATCATTTAAGCTGACAGACTCCTGGTTTTTGTAGATTGGCGTCACATATGAGCCCCACAGAGACGGTGTGTTACCTGACAGCAGACCTGTTTTACCTCGAGGTGGTGCTGCTGCCGGGGGGAAGAGTGGAAGATGTGAGGGTGGCCCATCACGGCGAAGCTCCTGTGGTGAGACCATGTGCTTATAATATTGTGCAAAAGAGTCTGTGAAATGCATTAACGTGGTTTGGTTTGGTTTGTAGTCCAGCCCATCACTCCTCCAGTTGTTGAGGTGAATCAAAATGTTCTTTATTTCGAGAGAAAAATGCATTGAAATATATTGGAGTTGGAGTAAAAATGCGTATCATATTTCCACAGGATGAAGAACTTTCATGAATTCTCTCTAAAGTTGGATGATCTTGCCTCTTTCTACATCATCCCGGGAGACGGGTATTGCTTTCTGGTTTCTGATTTTAGGTAACAATTTGTGTATTTCTCTAATTATGAGTGTGCTCTGGCAGTGATGTCAAGACTAAAATCTACACCTGTCTTCGACACCTGGAAACCGATCTCTTCAAAATATCCCATTTACCAAGGTGTGGGAAACTAGCCGACATGTTACATGTTTCTCTAGATGAAAGTCTGTTCTCATATAATGCAGTGAGCACGGTCTCCTCTAGGTCTCTGAGAGAAAGTGACCTTCACGTTGACCTCATCATGAACGGCAGGATTGGGAACGTCCAGCCAGGCAAAGAGGGTACGCAAGGGAAAACCGTGTCGGATCAGCGTGTTTTATGTGAAATATTAAACTCTTCTTTCACGTCTCCTTCCTCACAGGGACCCCACTGACAATCGAGTACTACATTAGTCCATTAGATGTTCTCATCAGGCTGTCAAACACAGGTATGAAAACAGTAACTTTGCACAACTTCTAATCCAGTGTTATTTTAGTATCTATATATTATTATAGAGTTTTTGAAATTGGCTTTTTAAGGTTTCTTTAACATTGGTAACATTTTTTTTTTTTTTTTTTTTTTTTTTTTTTTTTGTTTTTTTTTTTTTTTTTTTTTATATTTTTTTATATTTTTGTAATATCAGGAAAAAATTCAGGGCTTGGATCTTGAACAATGTCACCAGCTGCTGCAGCGTTGTCTGACAAGAGACCCAAGCATGATTTTTGACATTCTGTGGTCATCGGCCGAAAACCCTGCAGCCACACCCCACCCTATCCTAGGTCAGCCAACCTGGTGTGTCTGCCAGAGATGCAGGGAGATGCCGTCTGATATTGAGAGGAAGTGCTGCGGCCAACTCCCAGATTTCTGCATTTCGATACTGCCACACATGGACCTCTACATTTTAGAGGAAGGTGTCCTCAGACTGGCTAGGAGGATCTGGAATGACATCAGGGCAGTGCAGGACCTTCCAGACCTGGGGGAAAACCACCGGCACTTCCGTCACGCAGCCTATAGACAGTTTGTTGTGTGGCAGTATGGTGCACTTGGACATGGTCACAGAGTTGTGATACCAAGCTGCTGTGTGTGGAAGATACGTGACCGTTTCCCAGATCCTCAGGGCCAGTACATAGGCTACAATCCTGGCAGGGTGTAGACAACAAATTTTATTTACATATGCAGTTGATACCACTGCACTGTTTGTTACAAATTATTGAAATTCTCAGAAGAGTGTATATGAAAGTGTTTTAA